ATCACAAGTGACAAGTTGGAGAGAGGAAGAGAAAAAAAAGCAACAACACCAAAATGACAAGAGCAGACAAGTAAGTACAACAACAATTCCCTCAGCCACAACAAAAATATTCACTTCACATGGCACGGAAGAAGAGGCAAACTTAAAATCTATTATTTATTTAAAGAAAAACAAACAGAGAAATATATATCTTCCATAATCCCTAAAAGTATGCAGCACAAAATTGTAATTATTTTTATATTTTTTTTTTCATTATTACATTGTTGACTCTATTTAAATATTCATTGGAATTTTAGGTCAGCATATTTTTGTTTTCTACTCCAGTCATTCATTCCATGGCTGGTAAATGTAATAAGAAAAATTCTTTGGAGCCTAAATGTATGCTTTAGAATTGGTATTTGTATTTACAGGAATGTCATTTGTGCGCTAGGGCACAGGTACACATTTTCTAGGTGAGAATTTCATTTTGGGATATTTGAGCTGGCACATGCTAAGAGGGACTATGAAGGGAAGGGAGGATTTTTAGAATTTGTTTTTTATGGCAAAAAATATTAAAGCCTATTTTAGGGATACAAAAAATTTTAAGATTTTTTAAAATTTTATATTAGTATCAGCAGAATCTCGAGAATGGATAATTAAGAAAAATTACTTAAAATTTCGAATTTCAGATACTTGCTGTAATTTTTAAAAATTCTCGAATTTCAAACCTAAAGGACTTGCTATAATTTTTATAGGAAATCTTATTTCGGCAGTTAGCAGCAAAAAAAAAAATAAAATCATATTTCTTTGAATCTAAGGGCTTAGAAATAAATATTTCCGCAAACATTTAGACGAAATTCCAAACTTTAGATACTTGCTATAATTTTTATAGCAACTCGAATGGAGTACATTAGCTTCAAAAAAGCTTCAATTAAAAGCTATAATCTTTATGGATAAGTGATAAATGAGAAATTGATCGATTTTTGGCGAAAAACGACCGATTCAGAGTTGCTATAAAAATTATAGCAAGTCTCAAAATTATTATTTTGCAAGAAATTTGAAATTCAAAATGCTTTTCGTCTATATCGTTAGCTAAAAAATCATAAAATGTTTAACATTTTTTCGAAAATCTCAAATTTTGAGATGCTATAAAAATTATAGCAAGTGTCTCAAGTTCGCATTTACGAAAAACAAGTTATGGATATCCATTATTTAGGATATAGATATTTAAAATTCAAAATTTTCGGTATTTTTGACTTGCTATAAAAATTATAGCAAGTCTCAAAATTAATATTTTGAAAGAAAATTGAAATTAAAAATGCTTTTGGTAATTATCATTATGTAAAAAATCATAAAATGTTTAAAAATTTTTCGAAACTCCCATATTTAGAGATGCTATAAAAATTATAGCAAGTGTCTCAAGTACAAAATTTCGAAAAAATTTCTTCGCATATCGGTTTTACACGGTTTAAACATTCAAAATACGAAATTTTCAGTATTTTTAATTTGCTATAAAAAAAATTATAGCAAGTCCAAAATATTAAATTTTTCTAAAAAATAAAATTAAAAAAATTATTTTCCACATTTTTAGGACTCAAAAATTAATAGAATTTCTAAATTTTCTTCAAAATTCCCAAATTTAGAGTTGCTATGAAAATTATAGCAAGTGTCTCAAGTCTAAAAAATCCAGAAAATATCTTTGGATACCAATTTTATGTGGACTAAACATTTAATTTATGAAAATTTCAGTCTATTTGATTTGCTATAAAAAAATTATAGCAAGTCTAAAAATTTAAATTTTGCTAAAATAAAATTTAAAACATTATTTTTCACATTTTTAGAACCCAACAATTAATAAAATGTATTAATTTTCTTCAAAACTCCCATATTTTTAGATGCTATAAAAATTATAGCAAGTGTCTCAAATTGGAAATTTCCACAAAATTTCTTCGGATATCTGTTTTATGTGGTTCAAACATTCAAAATATTACATTTTTAGTATTTTTGACTTGCTATAAAAAATTATAGCAAGTCCAAAAATTTAAATTTTCCTAAAAATTAAATTAAAAAGATTATTTTCCACATTATTAAGACCCAACAATTGATAAAATTCCTTAATTTTCTTTAAAACTCTCATATTTAGAGATGCTATAAAAATTATAGCAAGTCCAAAAAATTTAAATTTTCCTAAAAATAAAATTAAAAAAATTGTTTTCCACATTTTTAGGACCCAACAATAAATATAATTCCTAAATTTTCTTCAAAACTCCCATATTTCGAGATGCTATAAAAATTATAGCAAGTGTCTAAAGTTGGAAATTTCCACAAAATTTCTTCGGATATCTGTTTTATGTGGTTTAAACATTCAAAATATTAAATTTTCAATATTTTTGACTTGCTATAAAAAATTATAGCAAGTCCAAAATTTAAATTTTCCTAAAAATAAAATTAAAAAATTAATTTTCCACATTTTTCGGACCCAGCAATTAATAAAATTCGAAACATTTCTTTAAAACACCCATATTTAGAGATGCTATAAAAATTATAGCAAGTGTCTCAAGTACGAAAATCTGGGAAAAAATTAATAAAAACCAGGTATTTAGGTTATAGGCAGTCGATATGTGACATTTTCTTTGCATTTGTCATGCCATAAAAATTATGGCAAGTTCTGAAAAGGTGTATTTCTGCAAAATTTTAAAGAAAAAATGTCATTCAATTTATGATTTATTTGTTATTTAATATCCGTAGAAAACCCAACAAAATAACCACAAACGTTTGTTGCCTTATCTTAATTTCAGTTGTTGTTGTTTTTTTTTTTTTTTTTTTTTTTTTGTTTTCTTGGGTTTTGCGATTGCAAAACGTACTACCTTTATTGGTGACAGCAAAAACAAGGGCGGCGACACACCCATGGTAAAGATTAATTTTTTTTTATTTTCATATCCACCGACGACGACAACAACACCGTTCCCAATCTTTATTAAAAAAGTCAACGACAGTTCAAATATATCTGCGACCGCACAGTTTAATAATTTGTTGTTGTTGTTGCACGTCTTGTATTCGTGCGTTTTGTGTTTGACGTACATCACCACGTATGTGGTGGTGGTGTTGTATGTCGGTTGGTTATGCTCATAATGAAGTTCTAATGTGGAAGATGATGATGATGATGTGGTTGGTGGATGACGAGGGATGAGGGGAATGATGATGATGACGAAGACGGACTGTTGTTGTGGCCGTTTGCCGTTCTTTTTTTTTGCCATTTGAATAGACATCACTTGAGGAACTTGACAAGGCGTCATAGAAGCATATACACACAGGGTGAGCTGAAAAAAAAAAAAAAACTACAACCCACTTCAGACTGCTGTCATTTCTAAGCCACTTGTCCGACAGCTGTTCAACAATTTTCTGTCATAGGCTGTAGCATTCATTTCAAACTTTAAATACCGCATTTGAAACAACTCCGGTGAAAAATATCGCTAAAATCTTCAAAATACCGAATATGGGTAGGTACCCTTATATGGGGACCATGCGAAGACGTGGATCTACACAGACAATTTTTTGTCATAGGCTGTAGTATCCCTTACGAACTTCAACTACAAAATTTGAAATAATTCCGATGAATAATGTCGCTAAAATCATCAAAATGCCGGATATCGGGAGGTACCGTTATATGGGAACTATACGAAGACATGGACCTGCACAGACAATTTTCTGTCATAGGCTGTAGTATTTATTTCAAACTTCAAATACCAAATTTGAAAGAATTCCGCAGAAAAATATCGCTAAAATCATCAAAATACCGAATATCAGGAGGTACACTTATATGGGGGCTATACGAAGACGTGGACCCACACAGACAATTTTCTGTCACAGGCTGTAGTATCCATGACGAACTTCAAATAGCAAATTTGAAACAATTCCGGTAAAAAATATCGCTAAAATCATTAAAATACCGAATATATCGGGAGGTACCGTTATATGGGGGCCATACGAAGACGTGGACCTGCACAGATAATTTTCTGTCATAGGCTGTAATACCCATTACCAATTTCAAATACCAAATTTGAAAGAATTCCGTTGAATAATGTCGCTAAAATCATTAAAATACCGAATATATGGGGAGGTACCGTTATATGGGGGCCATACGAAGACGTGGACCTGTACAGATAATTTTCTGTCACAGGCTGTAGTATCCATAACGAACTTTAAATACCAAATTTCAAACAATTCCGGTGAATAATGTCGCTAAAATCATCAAAATACCGAATATCGGGAGGTACCATTTATATGGGGGCCATACGAAGACGAGGACCTACATGGCCCATTTTCAATACCAAAAGTCCTGCAGACATTATATACATTTGAGTAAAATTTTATCAATCTACTTCAATTCATTCGGAAGCTACTGGAGTTATTTTCACAGGCGGACAGACAGACGGACCGTCGGACGGACATCGCTAAATCGCCATAGAATTTTATGCTGATCAAGAAAATATTTATACTTTGTTGGGTCTGAAAATGTATATTTCGAGGTGTTACAAACGGAATGACAAACTTAATATACCCTCCATACTATACCCTCTATAATATACCCTCCTCAATACTATGGTGGAGGGTATAAAAAATTTTAAAATTATGGCGTTTGACTTTATTGCAGTTATTTCTTATTTCATCTCACCCTGTATATATGTCGTGGCCGGTCCCAGGGAGGCCGGGGAAGACCCAAAGTAAGATATGAAGTTTTTCATAAAAGATTTGAAGGAAAAAAACGAAAAAAAAATAACATTGGATGTGGTTCTGTTGTTCAAAGAAATAGATATGGGGATAGAAAGAAATGAGCCACAGAAAAAAAAGAAAGAAACGAAGAACCCAAGGAAAATACAAAGGAAATGCAAAAGAATTAGAAACACACACTCTCTCACACACACACTCATCTACACATGATGATGGCCATATGCAAAATGTCATGTACACCATACCTCCTCTAAGCAAACATACCCAATAAACCATTTCATTAACCCATCTTAAATGAATACAAAAATAAACTTACAATAAGCCATTTTCTACAACCTGTTATAAGCATACTTATGATTGGTTTGTTAAAGTAGAAAATATGAATACTTTTATAACCGTGTGTTAAAAACGGTTAAAATAGTAATTGTATTTGCAATAACACTTGCAAAACATTTGCTAGAATAATATATTTGCAAATGCGATTACAAATGACTTATGTTCGCAAGATTTATATAAGAATTTTCGAAATAACATTTTCAAACTGAGCTTCAAAAACGGTTAGCATTGCAACAATATTTGCAATAACACTTGCAATACACTTTGTCAGAATATTAATTTTGCAAATGTGATTGGAAAAGACTTATGCTCGCTATAATTTTACAAATGTCTTTGCCAAGCAGGGTTTTAAAAACGCGTAGCATTGTAACTGTTTGCAATAACATTTGTTATACATTTCGTGCGAACAACAATTTCGCAAATGTGTTTGCAAACGACTTATGCTTGCAACAGTTTTACAAATGTTTTGTAAATTGTATCCCGTTATTTTAACAGGAGTGTTTTGCAATATTCTGATTTACTTCATTCTCCGAGTTTTATTTGAAGAGTGAAGATTAAAAAGTGCCCAATAAAAAGTGAACGGTTGCCAAAACTCCAAATTTTACAAAAAACTGTTGGCGAAAGCTACTAGTAGACGAACTGGCGCAAAAGATGTGTTGGAAGGGGACAGAGGAGAAAAAAAGTGTACGCAGCCTCAGTTCAGCAAAAGCAATAAGAAGTAAGTAATTTACACGTGTTCTTAATTTACATATTTACTTGCTTTTCTAATTCTTTTCAAATATTATAGATGCAGCAATTTCTATTGGATTGAGCGAGGATGAATATATAAAAAGCACAAAATCTTTTTTCCAGTTCGCGAAAAATAGGCAAGAATCAAAACAAAAATATACTCCAAAGACAAAAAACAAAAATTAATTTTTTTCTTATGTTAGTAATATACCTTATATTAATAATACACCTGATAAAAATGTACAAAATAAAAATTAAACTATAAAAAATAATAAAATTAAAAGGTTTATAAAACTATTACGAAGATAAGTTTAATTTATATATGATAAGAAAACTATTTTTCTTCAAGCATAGTTAATAATTAGACTTCTATGCTTGTTGCAAACTATAAACCAGCAATATTAAAGCAAGGGTTCAATTTGATTTATTCAGCAATTGTTTACAAGCCTTTCATAATAGTAATAACAAGCTTATTCTAAGATTAAAGTTACTAGCTTGTTTCATACTATTGACTAGTAATATTATCACAAGGGTTCAATTTTCATTATTCTATAATTATTAAATTGCCTTTCATAACAGTAATCATAACAGTTTTCTAAGCTTAAGACTTATGATAGTAAGTTTGTTACAAACTTATTTTAAATCGTTTTGGTTTGTTGGGTTCTATAATTATTAAATTGCCTTTCATAACAGTAATCATAACAGTTTTCTAAGCTTAAGACTTATGATAGTAAGTTTGTTACAAACTTATTTTAAATCGTTTTGGTTTGTTGGGTATGAATACACACACACACTCAGCTACTCACTCACACATACACAAATATTTATGCGCTTACCCAACAAACCAAAACGCTTTAAAATAAGTTTGTAACAAACTTACTATCATAAGTCTTAAGCTTAGAAAACTGTTATGATTACTGTTATGAAAGGCAATTTAATAATTATAGAATAATGAAAATTGAACCCTTGTGATAATATTACTAGTCAATAGTATGAAACAAGCTAGTAACTTTAATCTTAGAATAAGCTTGTTATTACTATTATGAAAGGCTTGTAAACAATTGCTGAATAAATCAAATTGAACCCTTGCTTTAATATTGCTGGTTTATAGTTTGCAACAAGCATAGAAGTCTAATTATTAACTATGCTTGAAGAAAAATAGTTTTCTTATCATATATAAATTAAACTTATCTTCGTAATAGTTTTATAAACCTTTTAATTTTATTATTTTTTATAGTTTAATTTTTATTTTGTACATTTTTATCAGGTGTATTATTAATATAAGGTATATTACTAACATAAGAAAAAAATTAATTTTTGTTTTTTGTCTTTGGAGTATATTTTTGTTTTGATTCTTGCCTATTTTTCGCGAACTGGAAAAAAGATTTTGTGCTTTTTATATATTCATCCTCGCTCAATCCAATAGAAATTGCTGCATCTATAATATTTGAAAAGAATTAGAAAAGCAAGTAAATATGTAAATTAAGAACACGTGTAAATTACTTACTTCTTATTGCTTTTGCTGAACTGAGGCTGCGTACACTTTTTTTCTCCTCTGTCCCCTTCCAACACATCTTTTGCGCCAGTTCGTCTACTAGTAGCTTTCGCCAACAGTTTTTTGTAAAATTTGGAGTTTTGGCAACCGTTAACAGCTCCTTTCCCTTAGAAGAAGTTTATTATATTATTAGGTTACGGTTAATTTTCCTTTGCTACTTACAAACATATTCAAAAACTTTTTGTCTTCCTGCAATTTTTTTTCGAAATCCATAAACTCGTCTATATTTTTAAAAGGGCTTTCAGGCATCAACAACTCAACAAGCGATTTCTCCTTCTTCAATTCCTTAACTTCATTACGCAGGACATTTATTTCATGACGTAATGAAGTGACTTCATTAGTAAGCCTAATAAACATGGGTTCAATTGCTTTTGAAAAATGTGCCACCATCCCTGAAAAGAATTAGAAAAAATATCGGCAATTGGTGTCCATTATACCATCGAAATATTTACCTTCTAGTGTCACAGGTTGTAGGGGGCCCATATTATTTAATACTGGTTGTAAGGAAGTAAGATTATGCGAGTTGTTGAATATGTTGTTGAAATTTATGTTACTGTCCTCAGTCATAGTGTATAACTGGAAAAAAGCCAAATTCATCATTTTTGTTTCTTAAAGCACAGATTTTAGTAATGTCTTTCAAGCTATGTTGGTAGGATTCTTGTGAAACTGTTAACTTAGTTGTTTGCCAAATATCAAGAAGAGACGATTCCAGTGGATTATGGAACATTGAACTCAAATTCAAAACTTTCTGTCCAATGACTTTACTATCTTGATTGCTTATTGATGACACGCGATATAGATTATTTTGAGCTTTATAATAATTATTAGGGTGGACTACTGAAAAAAATGCACATATTTTGGGTTGTGTATTATCCCTATGTGAGATGTTGATACTTTGCTCCACTAGTCGATTATATAGTTGAGCCGATATATTATTTTTTTTTCTTTAAAAGCCTTTTCAACATTCCCAGCTTATTTTCAAATTTAAATGCACTAAAAGTTTCACATGATCCATATTGCAAACAATCGCTGGCTAGGTGAGTGAGACAATGAAAATTGTACGTTGAAATACTTTCGTCATAAAATTTAGGCAAATACTTCAAACAATTCTTTAATAATGCGTCAGCGCACTTATTCTTTGATCTACATTGTTCAGGGCTTAACAAAATTCTAATAGCTAAACTCAATTGCAGAAAATGAAAATACCGCTCGTCATCCAAAATTCCTTTTAAGATAAACGGACCAACATACAAAAGAAATGTTCGCAATTCAGTTGCTTTATACCGATCAAACTCATTGAGATCTCTTGTACTTCTTCTAAACTCACGAGGAAGTTGTCCTTTTAAACACAAGAGAAGATTGTTTAATATTGTAATTTTGTCCCTTGAAAGGGATGATGTTGTATTTCTCTTTTTTATCCATGAAGTCATTAAAGTTTTGACAACACCCAGGCAAACCACATGCATATAATCCATGGGAAACGATGTTATTAGGTCTATTGGCAAGTCTTCTATGGCCATGTGATTATGTATTTTGTGATGATTTTTATCTAAGCGTTTTCTAAAATTTTCATCAGTGCGTAATGTGTTCTCTTCATATTTGAACACCATGCGGTTGTTTATATGATCACCCTTCTGGTTGCATTTGTGGCAACAACTGTATCCAGTATGAGTTTTTATTCCCAGAACTAGTGACCTTGCCGGCGCATCACATATGAAAGCTCTACAGTTAACTTTATATGTCTTATTATCAAACGAAAAATTGTCCTTCATAAGCTCGGTTAATTCTTTGATAAAGGGACCTAAAAACTCATTAACATCTATTGGCTTACTGTTTCCACTATAAATACCAACTGTATGCACAAAATCAGTGTCATTGACATTAATAAGAACGGGCCAGGCTTGTGCTAATGAACTTTTTGCTACCGGTAATCCATCTATGTTAATATTTAAATCAATAGAAGTCTTTAGATATTTTTTCGTGCATGACAAGAAATCGGTTAGACAATCTTTCAATTCGTAATGTACATAGTTTCCTCCTTGTATTGCAACTATCGGTGCATCGCGCGGTGTTTGTTTTAATGTCCTAGCATCTTTTGGTAAAAAAGGAAAGAATTTTCTTAAAATATTCAGCAAATCATTTGTAGCACTAGTTGTTATTGTGTGTTTGATAGCCCAAGCTGCAATTTCACTCTTTATATCAGCTGAATCTATAAATTCGGCATTGTCGTCCGAACTGGAAAACTCTATTTTATTTAAATTGTCATCACTCGAATAAGAACCACTTTCACTGGCGCCGACTACATCTTCGTTGGAATCGTCTTCTTTACGTTTTTTAGCATTTAACAACAATTCAACAATTTCTTTTGATTCTTTACGAACACTATGTTTTAATTTGTACGGCATATTTAAAATATGACTTAATACGTACCTGTGTCAATTATATAATATAATAATTATTCAATTAAGTTGACTTTTATTTTTACGTTCACTTTTTATTGGGCACTTTTTAATCTTCACTCTTCAAATAAAACTCGGAGAATGAAGTAAATCAGAATATTGCAAAACACTCCTGTTAAAATAACGGGATACAATTTACAAAACATTTGTAAAACTGTTGCAAGCATAAGTCGTTTGCAAACACATTTGCGAAATTGTTGTTCGCACGAAATGTATAACAAATGTTATTGCAAACAGTTACAATGCTACGCGTTTTTAAAACCCTGCTTGGCAAAGACATTTGTAAAATTATAGCGAGCATAAGTCTTTTCCAATCACATTTGCAAAATTAATATTCTGACAAAGTGTATTGCAAGTGTTATTGCAAATATTGTTGCAATGCTAACCGTTTTTGAAGCTCAGTTTGAAAATGTTATTTCGAAAATTCTTATATAAATCTTGCGAACATAAGTCATTTGTAATCGCATTTGCAAATATATTATTCTAGCAAATGTTTTGCAAGTGTTATTGCAAATACAATTACTATTTTAACCGTTTTTAACACACGGTTATAAAAGTATTCATATTTTCTACTTTAACAAACCAATCATAAGTATGCTTATAACAGGTTGTAGAAAATGGCTTATTGTAAGTTTATTTTTGTATTCATTTAAGATGGGTTAATGAAATGGTTTATTGGGAATAATGAAAATTGAACCCTTGTGATAATATTACTAGTCAATAGTATGAAACAAGCTAGTAACTTTAATCTTAGAATAAGCTTGTTATTACTATTATGAAAGGCTTGTAAACAATTGCTGAATAAATCAAATTGAACCCTTGCTTTAATATTGCTGGTTTATAGTTTGCAACAAGCATAGAAGTCTAATTATTAACTATGCTTGAAGAAAAATAGTTTTCTTATCATATATAAATTAAACTTATCTTCGTAATAGTTTTATAAACCTTTTAATTTTATTATTTTTTATAGTTTAATTTTTATTTTGTACATTTTTATCAGGTGTATTATTAATATAAGGTATATTACTAACATAAGAAAAAAATTAATTTTTGTTTTTTGTCTTTGGAGTATATTTTTGTTTTGATTCTTGCCTATTTTTCGCGAACTGGAAAAAAGATTTTGTGCTTTTTATATATTCATCCTCGCTCAATCCAATAGAAATTGCTGCATCTATAATATTTGAAAAGAATTAGAAAAGCAAGTAAATATGTAAATTAAGAACACGTGTAAATTACTTACTTCTTATTGCTTTTGCTGAACTGAGGCTGCGTACACTTTTTTTCTCCTCTGTCCCCTTCCAACACATCTTTTGCGCCAGTTCGTCTACTAGTAGCTTTCGCCAACAGTTTTTTGTAAAATTTGGAGTTTTGGCAACCGTTCACTTTTTATTGGGCACTTTTTAATCTTCACTCTTCAAATAAAACTCGGAGAATGAAGTAAATCAGAATATTGCAAAACACTCCTGTTAAAATAACGGGATACAATTTACAAAACATTTGTAAAACTGTTGCAAGCATAAGTCGTTTGCAAACACATTTGCGAAATTGTTGTTCGCACGAAATGTATAACAAATGTTATTGCAAACAGTTACAATGCTACGCGTTTTTAAAACCCTGCTTGGCAAAGACATTTGTAAAATTATAGCGAGCATAAGTCTTTTCCAATCACATTTGCAAAATTAATATTCTGACAAAGTGTATTGCAAGTGTTATTGCAAATATTGTTGCAATGCTAACCGTTTTTGAAGCTCAGTTTGAAAATGTTATTTCGAAAATTCTTATATAAATCTTGCGAACATAAGTCATTTGTAATCGCATTTGCAAATATATTATTCTAGCAAATGTTTTGCAAGTGTTATTGCAAATACAATTACTATTTTAACCGTTTTTAACACACGGTTATAAAAGTATTCATATTTTCTACTTTAACAAACCAATCATAAGTATGCTTATAACAGGTTGTAGAAAATGGCTTATTGTAAGTTTATTTTTGTATTCATTTAAGATGGGTTAATGAAATGGTTTATTGGGTATTGCCTTGTATTATTGTGGTTGCAGCAGCAGCAGCTCCACTCAACTGCAATGGCACACACACTCTCTCTCCCTCTCTCTCTCTCTCTCTCTCATAGCATTACCACCACAAATGCCTTTTTCGCATTTATTGTGACAATAAATGTAAAGAAAGCAAGACAACAAAAAAACAAACGACCAGTGCTTATGTCACGTCTAATACGGTTAACGGCACCAGAATGCCCTTTGGTTGCACAAAACCCTAACCGCTCGGAGACTCTCCCCGCCCTTCCCTCTGGCCTTGAAACTGAAGATAACCACCAAAAAAAAAAAAACGAGGGAATGAATGAATTACTGGATTTATTCCCTTTAAAATTGAAAAAGCATTTGCCACTAACTAAGGCTAAGCTGGGTAGGGGAAAGCAAGCAGCAGCTTGGCAAATGCTTACGTCAAAGCTAATTTACAAACCAGTAAAGAAAGTCTTAAAGTCGGGCGGGGCCGACTTTATGATATCCTACACCACTTTGCTAATTTAGTTTAGAGCTCCGCATAACAATTAAAAGTTTTTTTATGGGAGAACCATTTGATATATATGGGAGCTATATCCAAATCTGAACCGATCTCGATAAAATTTGGCAAAAATATTTCAGAGCTGTATTTGAGTGTGCATATTACGGCTGCCGAGGACAAAAAATAACAAATCGGATATATACAACATATATATGGGAGCTTTAGCTATATCTGAACCGATTCCGATCAAATTTGACATACTAGCTTCTAGACTCAATTCGGTCGTAAGTGCCAAATTTCATGCCATTTGGACAAATATTAGACGTTTGGTGCACAATACAAGGTAAATCGGACGAAGTTATATATGGGAGATACATCCAAATCCTGAACTGATCTCGATAAAATTTGGCAAAGATATTTCTGAGCTTTATTTGATATATTTCCCCAAATATTGTTGTTACAAAGTGCATATTACGGCTGCGGAGGACAAAAAATAACAAATCGGATGAACCGTATATATGGGAGCTATAGCTATAACTGAACCGATCTTCACCAAATTTGGCATACTAGCTTCTAGACTCAATTCGGCCGTATGTGCCAAATTCCATCCCATTTGGACAAATATTAGACGTTTGGTGGACAATAAAAGATAAATCGGACGAAGTTATATATGGGAGATATATCCAAATTCTGAACCGATCTTGATAAAATTTGGCAAAGATATTTCTGAGCGGCATTTGATATATTTCCCCAAATATTGTTGTTACATAGCGCATATTACGGCTGCGGAGGACAAAAATAACAAATCGGATGACAAAAAATATATTGGAGCTATAGCTATATCTGAACCGATTTCGATCAAATTTGGCATACTAGCTTCTAGACTCAATTCGGCCGTATGTGCCAAATTCCATGCTATTTGGACAAATATTAGACGTTTGGTGCACAATAAAAGGTAAATCGGACGAAGTTATTTATGGGAGATATATCCAAACCCTTTACCGATCTCGATAAAATTTGGCAAAGATATTTCTGAGCTGTATTTGATATGTGTCCCCAAATATTGTTGTTACAGAGTGCATATTACGGCTGCGGAGGACAAAAAATAACAAATTGGATGAACCGTATATATAGGAGCTATAGCTATATCTGAACCGATTTCGAACAAATTTGGCGTACTTATTTTTAGGCCTAATTTGGTTGTATGTGCAAAATTCCATACTATTTGATATTACTGATATTACACGTTTGGTGCACAATAAAAGGCAAATCGGACGAAGTTATATATGGGAGCTATATCTACATTTTGACCGATTATCTCAAATTTCAATAGGGTTCGTCCTTGGGCCAAACAAATGATTTGTGCAAAATTTCATCTGGATAGGGCAATAAATTCGAACTGTACTTTGTTAACAAAAATACATGGACAGACGGATGGGCGGACATGCATAAATCGACTCAGAATGTGATTCTATGCAGATCATCAAAAGGAACTATGGGTCTATCTCGTTTCCATTTGCCTATTACAAACAAATGCACAAAGACATAATACCCTGACCACCTTGTGGTGTAGGGTATAAAAAAACACAGCAGAAAAGCCAGCCAGCAAAAAACAGTATACCAATCAAAAAATCTGTTTAACATGAAATAATTTTTATGGCTCCCCTTTGCAATAACCAAAAATAAAACAAGAATGATGAGCATATTAAGCGATTTTGTCTGAAGTTTCTGTTTCAAATTAAATGCAATAAAAAAACACGGAAAAATTGAGTTTTTAAAAAATGTACAACATTTTTATAGCATGCTATAATTCCAAAAAATCAACTGAAAATTTATTATATTGGGTTTTTATAACATTCACATGATTATTTAATGATTTCCACCCTTAATTTCCCGAAAAATCAAACTTGAGACTTTTTTTTTTTAAAAAAAATCAACTGAAAATGTATTTTATTTCATTTTCATAATGCCCCCATGATTTTTTAAAGAATTCCACATTTAAATTCCAGGAAA